CATCGTATATATATACGTTTCTTTTCTACTGTTTCTGGTTCGGTAAATGTCTATCACAATTAAACACTTTGTAAATGTTATAATTATTAATAGTTATTCAATTTTTCTTCATTTCACCAACAATTAATCATTTTCTTTTTTTGGTCAGAATCTGTTATCAAAATCATAAGCCTTACAATGAATTTTTTTCAGTTTGATAGTAGTATTGCTTATTTTTCTAAAAATACAGTGAATATAACGATCAATACCACTTATTTTGTTCATATCATCTAAGTAAACGGTCACGTTTGTCGGAGCTATTTTTGTTCACTCCATACATATTGAAAAGTGCAATGAACTAACATTATGAAGATAAACTATTACAACAAAAGTTTACTTCTAAATGTCTAAGAAAATTCCACATCGTGCATTATTTGCCGACTCTGGGACTGATTGGAAAAAGCGGAGAGGTGGTCAGTGTATGACATGGTGTCGTGACATGAAAGAAAGCTTCAAAGATCTGGCCAGTGTTGGTCCTTTACGACTCCCTGGCTGGGGTCCGAGAGATGGTGCAACACAGTGGCTAGAGACGTTATCAGATATGGCTCAGAATAGAAGCCAGTGGCGATCCTGCTGTAACCTTCTTTTGCTTACTTCATAAAAAGTGGTTGCTTCTTCCTTAACTGAAAGATCTCTTCTGTTGTACGTTTCTGTTTCCCCCATTATTATTGATATTATTACACTAACTTACACTAATCTGTTCGTCATTGTTCTTTTTTTAACGCTCCTTACCTTTCATTTTTTCCTTCTTCTCTTCATTTTCTCATCGTCTTGTGTGACACATATATATTTGGTGCCCTCTTGTACGAATATTTATGTGTTCAAATAAATAAATCTAAATGTTAATATAGCTACATGAGTACGTAAAATGTTTGCTTCAGTTTAAAGTAAACATTTTCCAATTCATAACTCTACAATTAAGTTTACTCTATCAATATAGAGAAACATTGATTTACATAGTAACAAATTTCCAAATTATTTATTCATATACATAGAAACAAAGTTTGAAACAAAAGATTATCAGTTAGAAAAAAATTAACAACAAATACAATAAAAATAATAAAAAAATATCTTAGAATTCATTCACAATATAAAATGAATATACTTATTGATTTATATGTTGGACAAATGATACTGTAGTGAATAAGAACACGAGTGAGGACAATCGAATGTATTCGACATGATATTACAGAGCATCTCAATAAAATTTGAGAACCATACAGTAAATAGTTAATTTGAAAAATATCAATCTATCGTCTCAAACTTGACTGTTTCTGTTGCAAACATTAATATATTGTCTCAGATTTCATTGTTCATGCACTTTCATACCAATTACGTTTCGTTTCTGCTTTTTCTTAATCGATGTTTTGCTAAAATACATTCTATGCCTGACCACCGTTATATACTACTTGTGTGGATATAAGTAACCCACATCACAATACTACTTAAATAGTTTAATAAGAAGTATTCGTTAGTTTTTTACAAAAAAATTGATAGTAATCAGTAGTTAATATTCCATTTAGAATTCTAGATTAAATCAACTTGTTAAACACTTAGATTTTATACAATAAGAATCATATAAAAACAAATTTCAGTAGTAATTATAACTATTATTAAAATTGAATAAAATGAAAATGAATTTTATACACACTTTAAAATGATTAAATCATTATTTGAATAGGTGTCTGGATAGTAGACGGTTTGTTTTGTTGTTTTGTTTTCATTCAAAGTATAATTCAACCACTGATTCATGCAATCATCAAACAAACTAAATAAAAAATTACCCAGTGTATTTCATGTTCATTAGTTCTTCTTATAATAACAATAGTAATATTAATAATAAATTGTAACATGTTGTAATAATTAGGTAAATGCTTGATTGAACTTGAAGGAGTGGAAATGAAAACTAAAAGGATTTTGTCTAGAACAATTGTATAAAATGTGCTGGATTATTCTTGGAAATCTTAAATACAATTAAATATATTACATACTTACTTACTTAAGCCTGTTACTCCTAATGGGGCATAGACCACCGAACAGCATTTTCCAATCCACTCTGTCCTGCGCCTTCCTTTCTAGTTCTATCCAATTTTTGTTCATTCTTATATTTGTCACGGCATAATGTGTTCTTTAGACTTTCACTCCTACTTTGGCCCTGAGGATTCCAAGTGATGGCTTGCTTTGTGATACAGTTCAGTACTTTCCTCAATGTGTGTCCTATCCACTTTCAGCGCTTTTTCCTGATTTCTTCCTTCGCTGGAATCCGGTTTGTTCTCTTCCATAATAGGGTGTTGCTGATAGTGTCTGGCCAACGAATCCGAAGTATTTTGCATAGAGAGTTGTTAATAAACACCTGTATCTTTTGGATAATTGCTTTCGTGGTTCTCCAAGTTTCCGCCCCATACAGTAGAACTGTTTTGACATTTGTATTGAAAATCCTGACCTAGGTGTTGGTTGACAGTTGTTTTGAGTTTCAAATGTTCTACAGTTGTAAATATGCTACTCTTGCTTTGCCGATCCGCGCCTTCACATCTGCATCAGATATCGAGATGTCAAGATCAGACTTCATGTCTAAATTTAAGTTTTACTGATCCTTCTATTAGTTTCTATATCTGTTTTGTGTAAAGATACAAATTGCCGATTGTTTTTCATAGACTATTTCACTATAGTTTTAATGTGTGAACATGTTTATTTATTATCTGACAAACTCTAGTAAATTATATTAATAGGTCACCATGAATCAGTAACTTACTTGTGACCTCTAAATTTAATCGAAAGAAATTCCTGTTATTCACACAGATATTGTAATGTACGGGAACTCCGGTGAGGAAAACTGATGCGTTGTTCAGTGCAAAATCACTGAGTGGCTCAATAAAATATGAAAATCATACATTAAATACGTCATTTCACAGCTTCTTTGCATTATCCTTTACATACTTCACCAATCCGCTAATTCTGTTGTTGTTTTGATTGCTCTTCAAGTTCCTTTCTTTTCTCTTCATTTTAATCTTCTGCTAGTAGTCATTCCACTTTCGATTGCTACCACATACTACTTATATCTGTCAGCATAAGTACGCAATATACTCTAGAAATCTTTGAGAACGAAGTGATTATTGGATGATGAAATTTACCGAATAATCAAAGATTTAGCTAACTACGTTCTAGGAATACCCCATTTTTATAATAATATAAAAACTTGATCGTAAAAGTTTCGGTTGTAGCTAGACATGTAACAATTAATGAACATCCTTCTATTATACCCATGGTGACATGTATTACGAGAAATAGACCTTCATTATACGTTCAAGCTTGAATATCAGTTAGAACCCAGTTTCGTAATATAGATCGCATCTACATTGAGGTATTCATTTTATTACACTAAAACTGGATGAACTAGCCTATAGTCAGATTAAAATAGGTCGTAATAATAGCGGGATTCCATAAAAAAATATTAGTTTAGGAAGGTGAATTAGTTCCAAATGATATTATTGTTTTTGAATGTCCAGTTATTTTAATAATCTTAAATAGGTTTCCTTTCCATGGCTTTGATTAACTTACTAAATGTAATGAGGAAATTCTCCCAAATATATTTTAGGTTGTATACTCATGAAATTGTATAAATTCAAATGAGTTGTGAATGACATATACGGAATTGAAAAGCAATCACTATAATGCTTATTTAAAAGGTTTTACTTTTTATTTCTTTTGTGATAAGTAGTATGATATTCGGTTAAATAATGAAGGGTGCGTCACATATGTTATCAGGAATTGTTTACGATTTATAGTGATTGGGTAAGCTTAGAAATGAAATAAAATCTATCGCCAGTTTATTTTATATGATCCGAACAATTATTTTAATATTAAAAGAAAGGTTAATTTCTCAAAATACTTGAATTTGACAAAATCTGTGCGAATATATCTCAAAGATTAATGGAAGAATAAAGCTTTAACAAAGCACTCAATCAAATCATAGTCATATATGAATTAATGAATTTCAAAAAAGTTATATTTGAAAAGAAGGCAAACATTGAATGATCTTTATATTGTTACAAAATGACAAGGTTAAAATATTTAAACTAGAGGATATTGAAATAATGGCTCAATACTATACTGTTTTTTGACGGGACACAAAGGCTTTTTGAGTAGTTTTGTGTAGAATCTTGATTGTCCATATCTAAGTATTCCAAAAACTTAGATGATGTCTTTTGTAAATATGACAGAAATTATGTTTTGCATTATTGATTTTACAAAACGAAATCACTGAATAGAATGTGTAATGCATGTTAACGTTACTAATAATTCATTCCTGAAGTAATAAATCAGGTGATTATTGACTTACTTGCTCACTTTTAGATTATAATTTTGTTAATCATATTTGTTTTAGACCATTGTGTATAATATTCGATATGATATTAATACTGCTTTAATTCTAAAATTGTAGATTTATCATGATGTAACTGCCTAATATATAAGATCTTACATGGATGTCACATCATTATCTACCCTGACTCATTCGTATCGTAACAATCACCAATGCATAATGGAGAACAAGCTTAGGCTAGAGAATATGAATATGAATAAAAGATAAAAGATAACATTCAATAGAGACCACGCCTCCAAGATCGAGTCATGCCATCTGATCAATTCTAATTAATTCAGTTCATTCTTTTCACCTTTTCCATTGTTGGGTTTTTCTCTGCGTTAAAAGTTAAACGTCTATTTCTCCAATTGTCTCGTGTTCAGCTTTGATGATTGTGTAGTTAGGGACTAATGCTACTATATACTCATTACCTTTCAACGAGTTTACCATATTTACTTACTTACTTACACCTGTTACTCCTCATGAAGGAGCATAAGTCGCTCCTTCTTTGTATGGGCTTAAAATCGGCAGTAACTCGAGAAGATCTACAGGCGAATTTGAGTTCACCATGAAGATATATATTTTGAAAAAAATAAACAATTGCCAAAGTAACTTCACTTATATTATTAACAATAATAATAATCTAAATATGTCACTTAATTAATTAACGTTTAATTCAGTTTTATATTATTTCATTTAAATTTAAACAATAATAAGTTTATATTATACAGAATTAATTTGTTTTATTACATTCAATAAAAATTATGAATAAAGATGTTTTTCAAAAACAGAATGTTTTGTACAGAAAGTTTGTTTCTTTTATTTTTTAAATCTAAAAGAAAGAAAAACAATAAGAATTGTTATTATCATTGTTATTATAATTGAAGAAAGGCGCCAAATAAAAAAAGATTATTCAAGAGACAATGAAATGTATGTCAATAAGTAAAAACCATACATACATACTCACGAGGAGTAACAGGCGTAAGTAAGTAAGTAAGTAATACATACATTCATATCGAAGAAATAAGTTCATTTTATACATTCTCTTATATTAACTTAGTTAAACACCATTTGATATTGTGTATATCTATATATGTATATGTATATATGTAAATCTAGTTTCTAACGGTAATGGGGATAGTAAATAAAAGAATACAATATAAGAAGAAAGTAAATGATACATAATTTTTTTCAATATTTTAGAATAAGATTATATTCTATGGAATGTGAAAATATAAATAAAATTTATGAGAATATAAATCATATAAATGAAGTTCAATAAAGATATCTGTGCAATTCAATTTAATAAGCTTCTATTGTTCTGTAATATCTATTTACATTATGTATTACTAATAGTATTATTATTAGTAGTATGAATTGTTATACAATAATTAGATGAATATAAGAATCAAAAAGATGAACAATATTTTTGTTTTTTTAGAAGAAAAACAAAAGAGTGATAGATTAAATATGTTTTGTTGACCATGTTTCACATATACGATACGATTTATTATTTATAAAATTGCATCGATTAGTTCTTCTTTGTAAACGACACAATGAAAATTTATCTCTACACATCATTTCATTTGAATTTGGACTAATTGGTAAATAACATGTTTTTGGATTACGGTGATATATTGGATCAACAAATAATACTCTTTGTAACTAGTAAACAAAAGAAAATTATAGGTAAACATTTTTAAAAAAAAGAGAAGAATTAAATGAGAATAAAGCTAATGTTGAAAAAAATATAACCATAATGTTTAAATGGTAGTTTATAAAATCATATTACTTCAATAGTTTTATATTTAAAAACGTTGTTTATTAATTGAAATGGTTTTTTATTAAAAGGGGGTTCTGTAGAGATTTTAATCATTTAATAGTTGAATTCATAAGTCAATTGAAGTTAGACCACCATGGAAAACCTGGAAGCACTGGACGGCCGTTCCGTCCCGTTGTGGGACTCCTCAGCAGTGCGAATCCACGATCTCGCCCCCCGGCAGATTCGAACCCAGGACCTATTAGTCTCGCGCGCGAGCGTTAACCATTAGATCACTGAGCCGGCATCAAACGCTGTTAATGTCTAACTTCAATCACCCCACGAAATTGCGCCACCGTACACCATTGTCTGCTGAAAAGTCTCATACTAGGAAGAAACGGCCGTTCAGTGCTTCCAAGTTTTCCATGGTGGTCTAGCTTCAATTGACTCATGATTTCAGCTATAGAAATTACTAAATTCTCCACAAAACCCCTTCTGATAATAAAATTCTTTGTAATTTGACGAATTTATGAAAAGCTAAATGACTGAACTCAGCATTAAGGTATTTTTCCGATCATGCGTCCATGTACAGATATGTTTGAAGCAAAAGGAATAACATTCCATGAAATATTGGCTTCGCTTAATAATTTAAATATATTGGTAATCTTATATGCATGAAACATATAATATTTGCTGGAAAAATTATTATATAGTTTAGTTTTATTTAAATCAGTTGATGTAAGATACAGCTACGTATAACAATAAACAGCTTTTCTTTAAACGATAATTATTTTACTGATGGCTTAATGTTCTAGGTGATTCGTCTTTTTATGATCTATTTGATCTAATTATCTCGTTAAGTCTATTTACTTTTGGGTTCATCGAATAGGCTGCAAACATAATAATAACATACAGTGATTTATTGCAAAGTTAGAATAAAATGGTCCGAAGTAGTTAAAATGAAATTCTTAATCTCAGAGAACTGATTTACATTCAAAGTCATTGACCTCCATCACTATTAAGACTGTCTGCAACGTTACCATTGAGCTGTTAGCGTTTTGATTGGTGTATATGATTGAAATATTTCAACAAATTGGTAGTAAGCAATTTTATATTGAAAACCCCCATAGAATATTCAAAAACAAAGAATATTTGGACGAACAATTGTTTTCAATAATCTCACAATCTAGCCCTACAGTTATAAGTTCATAATTATTGTAATATTTTACAAAGGCCAAGATGAGGCATATATTAATAAATTTGACAATGTTATGTTGATGGGGTTTTGTTCTCTGAGCTGGATGGTTCAGTCGTGGAGCTTTCAGTGTTCCTACCAACGACATCATCAGCACAAACTTCAGGTAGAAGTTATGTTATGTTATGGTGAACTTTTACATCTGTTATGGGATTAATACTTCAAAATGGTATGATCCGGAATTTAGGAATAATAACAGTAATAATAATAATATTAATAATAAAAATAACGTTGTGTATTTACTGTGTGATATGAGAGGTGTTATTATTATTAATACCTAAATAACGAAACGAGAATCTCCTACTATACGTTTTGTTCATACGATTTATTGTATTACCATTTTATTGATTATAGTTTGACATCTAACAGCGAGTCATCCTGACCTTTATTAAATGACCTTCCCAAATTACGAATGATACTATTTTGAAGCGTTAATCCCATAACAGATGCAAATGTTCACCATTTTAAACACATAACATTGTCAAATTTATTAGTATATGCCTTATCTTGGCCTTTGTAAAATATTACAATAATGATGAACTTATAACTGTAGAGCTAGATGATGAAATTATTGAAAATAATTGTCCGTACAAGTATTATTTGTGTTTCGATTTCACACTGTTTAGTCTTCAATGTTCAGCTGATGCATTCAATCAATTTTGATATGAAGTCACTGACGTGTGTGGTTCCATATTTCAGTTCTTTTTATCTTAAGTAAGATATTCAAAAGTAAAGTCGTTATGATTTATCTGATAAGTGATATTGAATAACAATGGCTTGTCGAATAATGACTGTTTCGAACGTAACATGCTATCATCAAGCTTAACAGCATAATGTACTGAAAAACATTCGGCATACTTCATAGATGAGGCTTAAATAAGTTGACTAAGTAAAACATTCCACTAAATGAATTAACCATAACACCATAATATTAACAAAAATATCAAAATTTTTGAATTTATCAATTTGAGTATTTGTTTTCTTTTTCATTTCGTTTATTTTTTATATGCTCCTTTTGCATGTAAATTTAATTGGTATTTTCTCTACAGATTGACTTTTTATGTAAAATTTGAAGCGGAAACACAATAATAATGCAGTGTGTGCTACTGAAGTCGACAGATATAAGTATTATGTATCATCAATCGAAAGTGAAATGCCTGGTGGCAGAAGGTTAAGAAGATCGAATAAATTTTGTATTCAAACACATTTGGTTGTCCTTAATTGTGTTCTCGTTCACTGTAATAATATTTCATTTGACCAACTAGAAAACACACGAATTAAGCGTTTTCACCAAGATGGAGAGTGGCTAGCAGTGAAATCCAGGACGCGCGTTTCGTCCTATTCGGGACTCATCGGCTGGATATGCCTGTATCCCATAGTTGATGCTTAATCCAAGACTCGAAATTAGTATGGTTCAGTCCAAAATGGGTTCTAGACCCGTAGTGAACATCAATTATGTGATGCAGGTACGTTCAACTGACGACTCCTAAACGGGACAAGACGCACGTCCTGGACTCCTCTGCTAGCCACCACCCATATCTACTTATAATGTTTGGGGTTTAAGGCAATATCAAGGCAATCAGTACAGGATGCACAAATGTCAACAAGAGACTGATCAATTACAGTTTTAAACATCAACACGAAAATTCAAACAAACAATGTAACAATGAATTAACAGTTTATATTTGCGAATTTACATCCTCCTTATATTGTTAAGCTGTGCTGTTTTTGTGTGCTTAAAATAGTGTTAAGTAGAGAACCATCAAGAAAGAAATTGATGGAAAGAGTATTACGAACGTAGTAGAATGCTTTAAAACAACTGGTCAATTTTTCAGTTACCCTCATGATTATTGTTTATATATAAAAATGTTTTTCCTATGTTGTCTTCTTCACATATTTCTGTAGTCATTTTTATCCTACAAACAATAATCAGTTATTTTGTAACAGAATAAAACATGCTTTAAACATTTGTGTGTCAGGGTTAAACAATGTTCATTTTCTGTCCTTAACCTGTGCTGTTCCTACGGAATTGCATTTCTACGAATAAATTGTCCTTAATGTTTACATTCAATATGAGATAAATAATTTGTTTTGAATAGTTTAAAAAAAATTTTCAGTATCTAACTGGGAAACTATTTTCATCCGAATGCCAAATATCTTTTTTATTTACCATCAACTACTTTTGTACCATACTTGTTTGTCAAATAAATTAGCCTGATATATTATTTGAAGGAATTTAACTATTGTCTAATAATTTTAAAATGAATTGTATTGTTCAGATTTAGTCATATACTGAATTTAGATTTTATCCTTAATCTCAGACTTGAAAATCGTAAGCAAAAATGACAAATTGCTTGGTGAGATTATAGGACTACGAGGTTACTTAAGTCATGTGTACCGATCGATGATTCACCATCTATGCACGAAAGGAAAACTGTATAAGGAGAAAGTCTATTCTAAAAGTGGTAGTAATAACCATAAGAAGTTAAGAGTACAGTTTAGGAAGTTATTGATTGTTGATCAGCATTTTTGATAAAGATGCATATATACTAGTCGAAATGTTACGTGATAAAATAATCTGTAGTTATGCAAACTAAAGAACACATCAATGATAATTACATCAGGATAAGAGCATTCAGTCCTTTCTATATAAGTTTCTCCATTACTTAGTCTTTGATGAAAATGATATACGGTTTAAAATTTTCTTTGTAAGTATTGCAGGAAAGTAAATAAACCTGATTTATGTTCCATAAGTCGTGCTGAAACAACATAATGCTTACGACTATGTACGCTATTATGGACTAGCTTTTTCTTGGTCAGAAATATTGTAGAAACATGCCATGAGAATCTTCATTTTATTAGGTCTAGACTAAAAAATCACTATTTAGTTCATGATAAACAGTTGTAATTGAAAGAAAGAATTTGAGTAGTGAAATAGGAAGGATTGTAGTAAAAGAGATAACAGGTTATGAGGGCCAACAATTTTTTAAAAGCCTATGTAGTAGAAATAATTCGTGAAATGAAAGGAAAATTGTTTCTAAAGATCATGATTGTTTTAATTGCAGTTAAGTTTGGATCAAGAATACTTTTAGTTTTTAAAGAGAAACACTAATCATCAGACTAGTTATACATTAAAAATGCCTATTCCCTATTTTATACTGAACTAGGTTCATTCCTACAATTGAAGAGCATATGGAACTCAAAACAACTGTCTGTCAACCAATATCAACGTGAGAATCTTCAATACGAACGTCAAGACAGTTATACGGTACTGAGCTGAAACTTGGAGAACTACAGAAACCATCATCAAGAAGGTACAAGCATTTATAAATAGCTGTCTTCGGAAGACACTCAACATCCATTGTCCGGATACCATCAACAACAGCCTTTTGTGGGAGAGAACGAACCAGCTTCCAGCTGAAGAGGAAATTCAAAAAAGACGACGGAAATGGATAGGACATACATTACGGAAATCACCGTACTGCATCACGAGGCAAGCCCTAACTTGGAATCCTGAAGGGAAACGGAAAAGAGGAAGGACAAATAACACATTGCGTCGAGAAATAGCAGCAGATATGAAAAGGATGAATATGAACTAGAAAGAGCTGGAACCGATTACTCAGGACAGTACTGGATGGAGAATGCTGGTGAGCGGCCTCACGAGGAGTAACAGGTATAAGTAAGTAAGTAGGTTCAGTGAGGAAATTTCCTATACATAATCTAGGGTTTTTAGTTAGATTTCATAAATGATATTCAGCTCAGATGGTGGTTCGAGGTAGTCATCAGGAAACCCTGAACCCGGGTCTCGTGCTACTTGGCACTCGTTAGCAAGGTGTACCTGTTATCTTGAGGGAACTGGTGCCCCTGGCGGATTCGATCTGGTGTCACCCAGCTTCACAGTCAGAGACATTACCACTGAGCTATCCGGGCCGCGACTGACCTCCTGCACTAATAAGGACTGGAGATGCATGACACTGATCACCACCCAGTGATCAATCAATTGTGATGATATTCAGCTCATTTGTCTAGTATGCAATTTAAGTTTACAATAACATATTACATATTGCTTTCAGGTTGAACATTTAGAATTTACTCTATTACGGTGTTGGGTTACTCCGTCTGATTATTTTTTAAAATCAAATGATCTGAAATAATGAGATGTTCGTTATTATTTGTTATTGATTTGAACTATCTGACAGGATGATTTGAAAATTGGACGATAGATAAATACATTAGTGACTTGGAGTTAGCAATAATGTATTTCAACCATACTTCTGTAGTTAGTGAAACTTGTTTTATTTCTTTCATTTTTTATCAATTGTATATAAAGAGCTCTATTGCTATCTTTTCATACTGAATACTCAAAATCAAAAAAAGCACACATAAACTGTATTCATTTATTATATAATGTGTCCTCTTACTTGACATATGCCACACTGAATGCTATACCGGTTGCGTAAATATCGTTTTTGTTCTTTCGTTACTTGATTCCATGGTGCTTTCCAAGAACAAGAATCAACATGTGGAACACCTGATATGTAAATACCTACAAAGACAAAAGGAACAGAATTATTATCATGTTTTTCATGAAGGTAATAACTTTTCAATTGCCAACTGTATATAAAAATGTTAAAGTCATTCAACTTCTTATTTCGACGTCCTTAAAGTTACACAGCATTGGAACTATTATTATTATTTAAACACGTAAACATTGGTACAAGGAGACACTAAGTAAATATGCGCCACATAAATCATTCGATTTGTGTGAGGGCTGTGATACTACCCGGGTGCCTAGACCTAAACAGGTGGTTTTCTTAGGAAGCCACACTCTGAGCCTGTGACCTAAAGGTCTGATCTACAAGGCAGTGGAGCAACGTAAGGAGATGCAGTCTCTTGGTAGCCGGTGACCAAGATTGGTTCATACGCCATTTGTTCCTTCAGGATCCTGATGCCCATGTGCACCATTGGTTTGGAATCCGGTTAAAGCGCCGGACATTCGCATTTCGTCCTCTCAATTCGGTAAACAATAGTAATGCCACGAGAAGGCAGTGAGTAGGACTTCCTTGGCAGAGGTTGTATACGCGTGGCTACGTGAGAGCACTTCAAGAGGGAGGGTGGGCCCACCCAACTCTCGGCCATACCAGGCCATCTGGGCGCCTTCACAGATATATAATATACCCTTGTGGGCCAGGGTAATTTAACATTGATTTTCAGGAGAACCAGACACTATCCGGACTTTCACGTGACAACCCAAACAGTACAGCTCAACCCCGTTTGGTAGGAGAACTAGACACCGTGTAGGCTTTAACGCTACAATCTGAATAGTACAGCTCAATCCTGTGACGCAACCACACAGGTACCAAGCACCCTGATGGAACTGATGATAAAATTAAACTCAGAACTTTAAACATTAAAAATCACCAACTGAGATTACTTTTAATCATTTTCTAATATAATTACAAATCAGTATTGTGACTTGCACCTACAAAATCAAATATCTCAAACTCGAACAAGAAAATGTATTTCAACTGATGTTCACATGGCAGTCATTTACTATTTATCTTAATTTAAAATTCTGTAAAACATACAAAAGTCAGAATATTAGTAATAGTTCAGTAAACATTTAAGTGAAATTTATATTTCCAGAAATTAAATGATGAATATAACATTCAAGCTTAATACAATGTTAACCTAATTAAGCGTCATGTGACTATACTATATTTACTCACTTGTACTGAACGTTTTAATAAGGAATTAAGCTTAAAGGAAAGTGATATTGGATAAAATCTGTAAGATTGAGCATAGTTGTTCTCTCTAATCTAGGTGGCTTAACTCTACAACTATCATTATTTTTATAGACTACATTATTAGAAAATTCTTCAGATAGATATATAACTGTAAGCTTTTATATGATGATTTAAAACCAGGTAAAACTTCTCTATTATGTAAGATTTTGTGTTGTCATAGATACTCATACATTTGTCATTTTCTGTAGTCAATATTATTTATTTTCATGAAATAAAATTCAACTTTTGATAAACTATTTATTTTACTTTAATAAAATATAATTTTTCTTATTCAGTAGTACTTTCCCTTATTTAAAAGATAATTATGTTCTAAAAGAATGTATATTGAAAATATTTGTTAAACAATGTGAAATCAACTATGAAAACTATTTTGTATCGGTATTTAAAATGTTATTATTATTATTTCTTTTTTTGAAGAGTCTTTACATTTACTAGAATTGAACGTTGAACAAGAATATGCGCAAAATTTAAAACTAGTTATGATATTTAAATTTCGAACAGAAATTATGTTGAACCATTTAAACATAGAAATATAAAGTGAAAAAAACACTTGGTTCAATATTTTATTATTTATATATTTGAATTTATTTAGTTTCTCAAGTAAACTTTACATGCTTTATAAGAAAAATTATTTGTGGATAGGAGTGGAATCTACAACGCATGTTTCGTCTTATCTGAGATTCATCAGCTAGATGTACGTGCATCCTAGAGTTTATGCTCACTCTTGGATTTGAACGCCATCGTGTTATCTACTTAGCTATTGAGTTCTGATAGCGAAATGCTTGTACAATGGGGTGAAGTTTAAATTTACTTGGTGTTGTTTGTTTGTATCTTCCAATTGTGATTTAAGGCAATATCGAGGTAATCCGTATAAGATGCATATATACCAACAAGTGATTGATAAATTGTAGTCTTAAACAACACCAATTTAATTTAAACTTTACCTGATTCTAATAATGGTAAATAGAAAAGATTTTCTACAGTAAATTGTAAGTACTAATAATAATTTGAAGAAATTTATTTTCCTGTTTAAAGTTTATATTCTTGTTAATATATTCACTCCAATTAATTTACCTACAATTGTATTCAACGATCTTAAAAAGAAGTCTTTACTAACAAAAATAAAATGATCAACAATTCAATAGTGGATCATTGTTTACTATCTGAGAACAATTCGAACACTTCACTTCTATCTGAATTTTGTGCTAACGATGTCGTTTAGAAGAACGATGAAAGCTCCACGACCAAACCATCCAGCTCAGAGAACAAAACTCCATCAAAATGATCCTTTTCAGTTACCAATCTTCTCCACCATCTCAACAATTGTTGTATTTGGATGCAAAAACAACAGCTTACAAATAAAGAATAATCGATAGATATGTGAATAACCTTGGAAATATGAATAGGTATTTCTAAGTCAAGATATTTTGTTCGAAATATGACAATTATATAAGTATCCTTACTAACATTTTACTTCATAATTTCAAATAACTTGAACATCAGGGGGATGGGTACTTATAGTAACTAAACAATGGTATGTTTGTAATATCTCACTGACTAGAAAATTGAATTACTGATATGTTATGATATAGTGTAATTTTCTTCTTTAAAAAAAGTAAATAACAGAATTGAAATTAACATAAGTATAAATAGGACAGAGGAACAAATAAAACAATAAGGCTTAGTTTAACGTTATACATGAAATTATCTAAAAAATAAATGAATCTAACATAAACAACATAAACTTTGTGGTTTAGTTCACACATAATTCAATTGTGTAAAACTAAAATTTATGGTCAATTAACGTTGAGGAAGACAAAGTATCATTAGTTACGTTAAATATCATTTAAATCCGTGTCAAAAACCATAGTACTATATGGCTTTCTCTTTAACAATAATTTTTTACAGATTATTGATTAGTTAGTTCGTTTACAAGTATGATTATCTAAGATAAACAAACATGGTCTCTTTCAGAGATTTCGTTTAGTCTACCATGTGATTTTTTGACCAGAGAAATCATAATAATGAGTTCTTATAGAATATAGTCAATAACAATTTTTAAATGGATTATTTACAATTGGTTGATCATTGGGTTGATCATATGTGTCACATGCTTTTTAGTGCAGATCGGATTCTAACAACTAGATTACAATTTTCTGTCAGCTCAAGTGACTCAACATCGCGTGCACTGTGTTGAAGCGCAAGTTGGTGGTTGAATGTAGTCGACGGGAAACCCTAGATCTAAGTATCGTGGTATTTGGAACTCATTAGCAAGGATCTGACACAAATGATATTGTTCACCATCCAGTGAATAATCAGTCGTAAGTGCATCTCAGTCCTACAGAAGATCAATTTCAGCTTAGTGGTAATTTTTTCAACTGTAAAGTTGGGCTAAACGAGATCAAATCCTCTAGGGAGCATCAGTGTCCTCAAACTTATAGACACACCTGGCTGAAGAGTGTCGAATAGCTCAAAACCTAGATCCAGAGTTTATAACTGATTACATCGAACCATTATGTTTACAGATTATCTCATGCACAAACTTTTAGCGTGGTCTTCACGGACATAAACTCTTGGACAAATCTAGCAACAACTGAACTATTTATTCATTATATATATATATATATATATATATATATATATATATATATATATATATATATATATATATATATATATATATGAAATAAATGAAATTGTATTAAATCGTTGATACCACTACGAATTAGTTTTTCTGTGGAATTTGTCCATAAGAACAGTAGTCTGATTTTTATTCTTTAATACCGACCAGTCTATAATACATCACATTTGATTGTTCTTTATATAGTCTGAAATTTAGCAAAAATAAGAACCAGGCATAGACTTGAAAATTTAATTAATTTTATTTTTTTCGTATCGAGTGTTTCCTTCATGTTTTTTTTTGTGTTTTAAAGACTGACATGATTATGTAATCGTTTTCTCAGTATGAACAATTAAATTTAGAAATTAGATTGTAAAAAAGCATTTAATTCTACATTACAATTACAGAGTTTTACGACAGCTTTCAATAGTGTGTGTATCTGTTTATCCTAATGTTCACATGTGTAATTGTATATGCTTAGCTTTATTTCGAACTCATCAAATAAAAAATCTCTTACAGTTTTAAGTTAACCGAGTAAACAATTCAGACTGTTTAAATGATAAGGTTATGAGTAATAGTTTAATGTTGAAAACTGAAGTGATTTTAAGATGAAATGAAGTTCTAAAGTATTTTGTTTAGTGTATTTACAGTATTCAACTATATCAGTTAATCATAGTTATGTAATAAACTAGATAAACATGCATACATTTTTTTCTTGACTATCTAACAAACTGGGAATGAAATCATAATGGTAACTTGTAAATAAATTAATATACATAGATTAAGTAAGATGTCAAGAGGAGATTTCTAAAAGTAATTACCTAACATTAAGTGATATTTATTGAATCATATGAACTAGGAAGAACTGTAAAACTATTTTAATCTAATTTTAAATAAACATAATTTTTCATCTAAATGACTCATATAAGATCCGATTTTCATTCTTTAAGTTTCGTAGTAATTCTAAACTTTCCAGGTCAATGAATAAAGATCAGATTGTCAGATATTTCAATTGAAATTAACTTCTACATTGTTTATTCTTTATTTTTAAAAAGTAGTTGAAACACTTTCAATCTAATGCCATGATAAGATGAAACACACTAAGTTTAATGAAGGCCG